TTTTCCTAGATTCGTGCTTCATACATTCCATGTTCTGATTATTAACAGATGTTTGCAGCTGTTTCTTCTCATTTTGAGTCATGTCACATCAGCAAATGGAGGTCTCAAAAGCTCTTCCCCAGTTGTATTTTGAGTACCTTCTGACCTGAGAGGCTCATCTTCCAGCACTGTATCAGACAATGTTTCAGGGCTATTCATAAAGTTTTCTGGTAATATATCGGGTAGTGTTTCACTGCTATTCGTAAGGTTTCCACTGGCCAATTCTTTGAGAAGTGGATGGCCCCTTCCTTCTTCTGAGTCTGTCTTAGTCTGGAAGCTCTGCTGAAACTTATCTACCTTGGGTGACCTTGTTGGTATTTGAAATACCAGTGGCATAGCCTCCAGCCTCACAGTAACATACAAGCCACCACAGTATGACAGAGTAACAGACAAGTGGTGGGCTTGTCTCTCCAGGGCATAGCAAGTGCCTGGAACATGGTGGACCTACAGGAACACTGGCTAGTCTGAACTGGGACAGACCTTCCAAAACTTGGCTGAGGGGCTGCTGCCTCTGGGTAATCTTCCCTGACTTCCGGTCCTTGTTTCTAGCCAAGTCTATAAATGCACGGACCACACACAGGCAGACTCTCAGGTTGGGTCTCCTCTGGCAGATGTGAGCTCCTTGGAGCAGGAATGGTGCCCCTTCCATGGCATTCCAGGGTCCAGCCTGGAGCCTGCCACAGGTATGCACAGCATCCCTCAGTACACGCTCATCAACCCAATGACAACTGGATGTGGAGGCAAACTCAATCAACATTAGCGGATCATCAAGCATTAAACCAACTCTAAGACCACAGGAGGTGAAAGCAACATGGAGAGTGTGGGTCCCCGTGGGCTCTGTGGTGGCTGTGAGCAGCACGGTGGGTTGGAGGTGCCGTTAATGGGCAGATGTAGGAGCCCTGGGCCAGTGAGCCAGCCTCAAGTTAAGGTTCCTGTGTCCCCCACTGCTCACAGGGGGTCTGAAGGTGGGGTGAGCAGGCCTGCCCCAAGATCAGGGACCAGTGTGCACACATGGCTCCTTTTGAGCATCTTCTCTGCTGACTTCATAGGCCTGCCGCTTCCCTACTGTTTTCATCAGAGTCCTCGTTGCCATCATGCCAACGTATTGAAGCCTTGTTGCCAAGGTCGCCCCAGCCCTGCTGAGGCCCCAGCCTGCACCTCAACAGTCCCCAGCCCCCTAGGGTTATGTTTATGTGGAAACATCACTGAGCTCCCCTGACATCAGGCTGGCCCAAAACCCCACTAGTGAGTTTCCACAGGGCCCGAAGCAGCGCGGAGACGCAATCCTCGCTCATCTGGTGTGGACAGGGCTCTGGTTTCACACGCCAGGGAACGGAGACACAGCTCTGAGCCATGCACCAGCAGTTACTCCATAATTCCACTGTCATCCCAGACGGGAACAATGGGAGCAGCAGAGATGAAAGCTCAGGGTGGGAACCTCTGTGTCGCTGTCGCGGCTAAAAGCAGCCAAATTACCCTTTTCACAAACATCATGGCTAATGACTCAGTGCTTATTATTATTTTTTTTTTTACAAAGTTCCCGTTTTTTTCCTCTCCCGAAAAAAATAGCTCTCCCCTCACCCCCTCAAAGGTGCCCAACCAACAAACTGAAGACCAAGTCTCCCTGTGTGCATCAGGGTGTCAGGGATGAGGGGCACCCCACTGTCCTGCAGGTCACACCTGTCCTTCTCTTTCTCTTGCTGGGTTAGAGTCAACTCGCCCCAACCGGGCAGTGGGTGCCATAGAGACACCACTGAAGTACTACGTCATGGCAGCAGGACCCAGACTTGGTGCCAGGTGATAAAGATGAGAGTTATAGCACACTAGGTGGGCTCCATCGACCCTGTGAGCTAGGTCTGTCATCACTGTGTTCACCTGTGAGGACACTGAGGCCCAGGAGGTGACGGAGTCAGGACTGGAGCCTGGCTGCCTGGCCCAGAGCAGGAAGGAACTTTTAGCTTGTGGATGAAAGCTGACGGGAAGTCTGTGTCGCGTAGCCCTGAGGCAGGGTGCAGGGCAGTGGGAGCTAGCGTGACTTGGTAGAATATGGTCTTTTCCCTAAAAGAGAGGCCCCGGGGAGTTTCAGGGGCCCAACAGAGAGGAGGCCAGGAGGATGGAGTGTGCCAAGTAATTGAGAAGAGCTGGCCAGTGTTACGATACTACCGCCTGCTGACCTTGGTTCTTTAAAACAGTCTATTTTCCAAAAGCTGTACGTAATGAACATGTGCTCAAAAGCCGACTGCTGGACCACCAAGTTCATTGATTGGTTCAACGATTATGTGTTGTGTGCCTTCTTTGTGCCAGGCGGCAAGCAAGAGAGACCAGGGCTCCTGCCCTCAGGGGCTGATGCTGTGGTGGGGGAACAGGGTGGTGACCACGTAAGTCAGCACGGAGCACGTGCTGCAGAGGAAACGAGGCAGCAAAGAGCACAGGGCTGTGAGGCAGGGTGCAGAAGACAGCGCCGTAATGGGGGCTGGGTGTTGCAGACAGACTCCAAGGTGGCCCTGTGTTCCCTACCTCCTGGTGCAACCGCCCCCCTCACCGTGAGTGTGGGCAGGAGCTGTGACTAGCTTCTGACAAACAGAGTATGGCAACGGTGATGGATGGATGTGATTACGTGATACAGGACATACGACGGCAGTGGGCGGCTCTCCCTTCCTCACTGGCATTGAAGGAAGCTGGCATGCTGTAGGCTGCCTCTGCTGGGAGGCTAATATAGCTGCAGGCTGAAGCCTGCTGACAAAGTGGCTCCTCCCCAGTCGAGTCTCAGATTAGACCACAGCCCCAGCTGACACCTTGACTACAGCCTTGCAGAGAGGCCCAGCTGGGCTGTGCCCAGATTCCTGGCCCACATGAACTGTGAGATTGTAAATGTGTTGTCAGTTGCCAAGTTTGTGATAATGTGCTACACAGAAATGCTCAGGGAAAGCTGAAAAGGAAACATGTGAGCGAAGATCTGAGAGGTGTAGGGGGAGTGAAGCAGACATGGGATGGGAGGTGCCCAACAGAGGGGAGAGCTGGGGCAAAAGGCCCAGGGTGGGCACCTGGCTGGCCAGTGGGAGGTGGGTTCTAGGGCCACTGTAAACAGTGTGTTCAAAACCACGGCAAAGGGCTGCTTTGGAAGCATGTTGATGTGACCGCATCCACAGTGGGCGTGGCAAGGTGGCTCTTACAGATAAGTGACTGTGCACTTGCCCACTTACTCATTTATGAGGAGTGTGTTCAGGTTGCTGTGTCTCCTTGAATAAGCAATGGCAGAAAGCTGAGTTCTCTTCCCAGGGTCTTTGCAAAATCCCCTCTGCTCACAGATGACCCAATCAAGGGAGCAGGGGGCCTCTGCATGGCCTGGCCAGACAGCTGAATGAACCCCTCCTCAAGGAGGGGCTGGCTGGCCAGTAGCCTCGTGACCCTCTCCCTTGCTCTCCCAAGGTATAATCAGGTTGCATGGATTCAGCATGCCCTAGAGGGAGAAAGGAGTTTAAAGAGCTGACAGCCCAGTGATTATAGAGTGAAGGAAGAGGAGGAGGGGAGAAAGGGAAAGACCTACTTCCTGGGGACAGAGGAGGGGGCAAGTAGAGGAGGAAGAGGGGTAGAAGCCAGGAGGAAAGAGAGGAGGAAGGGGAGGAGGAGGAAGAGGGGAGGAAGCAGGGAGGAAGGTGAGGAGAGGAAGGGGAAGGGGGAGGGAGAGGAGGAAGAAGGGAGCAGAGGCCAGGAGGAAGGACAGGGAGGGAAGGTAGGAGGGGAGGAGGGGGGGGGGGAGGAGGGGGAGGAGGGAAGGGAGGACAGGAGGGGAGGGAGGGAGAGGAGTTGGGGAGGGGAGGAGGGGAGGGAGGGGAAGAGGATGGGAGGTCCTTGTGCCTCCTTTCTCTTGTTGTGAGGGGTGAGGACTGAGTGAGTTAGCACACATCAAGTGGTCTAGTAGTGTCCAGTGTCACAACAACCTCCAGCATCTGTGTGACCATCACACAAAGGCTCCCGAGGTGCATCCCACAGCCCAAGAAGCAAGCCCTTGGATAGAGCTCAGCTGTGCGCAAGCACAGGACCCCAGTCTCGGCCACTCTCACCGGGCTGACAGACCACACTGAGCCCTCACCTCCCCAGCCACAGCCTCACCTGCTCCGTAGACCACCGAGTACACCACTTTCTTGCTCTGCTCTCTGTCCACGTGTCTCACGTGCTCCACAGGAATGTCCTTCCTGCGTGGAAAGATGGCATGTCATCAGGCACATCAGAGCTGATTTACAGAGGCTGAAGCGAGAGTCTAGCCCTGTGCGCCACCTCAGCCCGCATCTTGTCTCTGGAGCTTCTCAGCTGTTTCATCTGGGGCCTGTCACAGAGGCAGGGGAGACACTGGGAGTGTGCAGCCTCTGCCTCGCAGGCGTGGACGCTGGCACACCAGGGCAGGACAAACAGAGAGTACAGCGCTTCTAATGCAACTGCTGAACCAGTGAGCCTCACTGAAAGCAGTGAGGTTTCATAGCCCTGAACTCCAGTCTCCAGTACATAAGTTGTTGTTGTTGTTATTTGCCATCGAGTCCCCCGGACTCATAGTGACCCCTCCTTGGGTTTCCGAGGGAGTATCACTATGCAAGAATGAAAGTAAATGTATCAAGTTTCAATTCAAACAGCAAGAAAGAGAACAACAAAGCAAATAAAAAAAGTACAAGGAAAGAAATAATAAAGCTGGAACAGGATAAAAGCCGAAGCTACTGTGGACAGAGGGCAATAAAACAGTAGATCAAAGTAATAAATAAAAATCACAGTTCTTGGAAAAAAAATAGGTAAGATGAGAAATAACAAGGAAAAATAACTATTGATATGGAGGAATTAAAAAAAAAAAGTTGTTTTATACAAATCTACATGAGTAGACCAATGAACAATCTCTTAAGAAAATCTCTTAAGAAAAATAGTTTATCAAAATTGACTCCAGCAGAGACAGAAAGTGAAACAGACCCACAGCCATAGAAGAAATGAAGAGTGTTGGAGAAGCACTGCTGAAAAACAAACACACACAAACACACAGCCCACCAACAAACAAACACAAACACACAGCCCATCAACAAACACACACAAACACACAGCCCACCAACACACACAAACACACAGCCCACCAACAAACACACAACACACAGTCCATCAACAAACGCACATAAACACACAGCCCACCAACAAACACACATAAACACACAGCCCACCAACACACACACACAAACACACAGCCCACCAACAAACACACACAAACACACAGCCCACCAACAAAGACACATAAACACACAGCCCACCAACAAACACACACAAACACACAGCCCACCAACCAACAAACACAAACACACAGCCCACCAACAAACACACACAGACAGCCCAGCCTTAGCAGCCAGCAGCTGTCTGAACAAAGAAAGCCTCTAGCTTCATTGGGCCAGGAGCAAGAGACAGAGCTGAAGCCCAAGGTTGAGGGGCTTTCATCCAGCTCCTAGAGCCTGGTACTTTGAACTCGGACTTAAAGCCTCCAAACTGTAAGAGAATAAACTCCTGTTTGTTAA